ATATATATATATATACACAGTATATGTCTATCATCACATTAAATCGTCAGGAGCAAAAATAAACGTAGTAAAAAGTAACAAAACCCTTTTTATACGAAAGGGTTCTAGTGGCACAGACAATATTGCCTTGGAAAATATTTTTTATGTCAATTGTATGATAAAATAAAATTCTTTTGCGTTTTAATTCCTATTAATGTCATGTTTTGCCCTCTACGTAACTACTTGGGATGAGATGACCTGGTTGACTGAGAACCTAGCGACAAACATACTCAACTTTCTATCCTTCTACTAACGCCAACCCGAGGCTGAAGGAAGAAGTCCTGTCTTGCGTGGGTTGCTTACTAATAAAACGCGAGTCTGGTTACACATGGAGACACAAGGAATTTTACCTTAACATCAGCAACATGAAATACTTCCACTAACGCACCAGAAAAAACCGTATACGACGCGGTGAAACTGTGAGTTGGTATTCTGTAGCAACGTGACAGCAAAACACAATTCAACCCGGAAGTGAAAGAGACTTTTCTTTCTTTTAATGTGTGCGCATTACCGCCGTCTGCTGGTGGGGAGAAAAATAAAATAAAATAAAATAAAATAAAATAAAATCTCGGACTTTTGTTCATAATCTAAACGCACATCACTGTGGTATATAAATGTGTGCTTGTCCAAACCGAAACCTTAATGTGCTTTAGATATACAATAATCTAAGACAAATGAGTACTGCATACATCACATTTGTCAGAATTGTAAGAGAAATTTGGACAAGTAAATTGTTTCTGAGTGTACCCTGCCCTCCCTTCACTAGATTTCAGTTGAAATTGACTTTGGCTAACCCGTGACTATAAAAATAATGAAAGAGGAGATCATAAATTAATAGACCCACATCAAAAAGCAAAAAGGGGTTGGGGCAGTTTTGTTGAAGACTAGGTAAAGGTTATGAAAATCTGACCCAAAGCGGGAGGATGGGGATCTTTTTTCAAAGTCAATCCATTATTAAATCTTTCACAAACCATTCAGATTAAAAGAGATGCATATATACTCGGTTCAGATCAGACCCATGCTAATTTCAGTTTAGAAATAGCATCACTAATCAATTATACTCAATATATGTCTGACAATTTATTGTCTCAAAGTCTTCGATTTAGGCCCTAAATGTTGTATCACTTCTCTCTTCACATCAATTTTACTTCCTGACTGTTTGACAGCCTGTCCACACATACAGTACTTCCTCATTGCAGTCTTCTTGACTCAGGTTAGCTCGGCCGTGTAAGGGCAGTCATGCAGCAGGACGGCACCGTAGTGGATGAATGGGTCGAAGTTTCCCGGCCGGAGCTTTATGAGGACTATGTCCGCTGCTGCCGAGAATCGTGTCAGGAGACTGGGTCGTGTCGGGACAACAAGCTGCTGGACAGAGCGGCGCGGTATCTGCTGAGTGAGCCGAGACTCGATGATACTTTTAGCGCGTTTCCTTTCTACCAGGTTGTGATTGAGGCAGCCAGGGAGAGAGAGAAAGACAGAGACGGTAACTACAGCAGACAGCTGGAGGGCTTCGTCAAAGCCACAGAGCTGCTGGAGACTCTGTGTGTCAACCTGTTCGTGCAGCCGTGGAAGAAGGAATTCAGGACCATCAAGGTCTGCCCTCTCACTTCTTCGTTTGTTTGTTCCTAATTCTTGCGATTTTGAGTACGTAGCAGTTTGTCTTTAGCTTCTGTCAACGTTTTTATACAATTTTTTTTTCTTCAAGTTATTTACTTTTATTTCACTGAACGTCTCCATTAGTATTTGAAGGAATTAATAGTAGTCTGTTAGTAGTACAAACTAAAACGTTTGATCTTCGATACTGGTTTAACCAGAAACGAGTACTAAACTCACTGAACAATTTAAGCTTGGGACACTGCACAATAATAATAATAATTAACTGTAGCTTTAAACTCCCTTTTTAATGTCCATGAGGCAGACTTAAAGGTACAGTGTGAAGTGAATGGACATCTACCATGTGTCGCCTTGTAACAGCAACTTTGTCATAGAATGTGTATGAACATACAGTATGATAATATAATATAATAATATATATGTGATATATATATATATACAATTAATAAATGCTATATCATCAGTCAAGCAGGTTTGGATAGAATGAATTAATGTAAGTTAATGATTGTTCTTTGATTAACTGTAAAAATATTTGATGTGTGAACGAATCACTAATGAAAATAGTAATTACGTCCAACTCTATAATTTACTACAGACGCCACGTGAAACAGACGTGTCTGCAGTCACGCTCTGTGGCCTACCTGCAGCTTTTGGTTTTATTTGCCGTTTTTTTTAAAAAAAAAAAAAAAAAAAAAGGTCCAGGCAGAATTTGGTCTAATGTGTCCATAGGCTGTTCCTTATCTATTTTCTGGCTACATTCAAGCCAGTTTTGCAATATCTTTCTGTCATCCATTTTCATTCCACATTTTATTGACTTTTTAGCTCACATTGCACTAAAGTTTACTTTTGTAACTTATCATCATTTCATCCTCAGTATATGTATATGTATTTTTAAGTCGCAATATTTTCATTCCATGGCTGGGTTTTCAACTTATACTCAGGTGCGACTTATATATATACTTTTTTTTTTTTTTAATTAAAATTTATTTTCACACAGACAGCCGCTAGAGGGCACTCTAGGCTTGTGTACCAGTATCTGCTACTCCAGTACCAATGAAAATTTACATGTTCGTTATTTTAACACTGAGAGCCGCTAGAGGGTACTGGTGCAACCTATACTCCGGAGCGACTTGTATGTGTTTTATGTGTTTTTCATCTTCATTATGCATTTTTTGGCTGGTGCGACTTATAGTCCACTGTAAAATACAGTACTATGAAAAATAGTTTGCCCTGGAAGTAATTTCGTTAGTTGCGATAGCGCTGATGTCACAGACTGAAAATGTTCCTGCGATGAAAATAGTACAAATGTATTCCTTATTTCCAGAAGAATTAAGATGTGGTGCAAAGTTTCAAACTTGTATGTCCATTCCATACACTTGACATTATTTCTCTCCTGCTTTGTTGCCTGTTCATATCTGACGTGTAAGATGTCCTTGAATCCTTGTGGTCCATTAACAGATTATGTCCGTTTGTTCCTCCTTGTTTCTCTAAGACCTACACAGGTCCATTTGTTTACTGGCTGCTTCCAGTTCTAGGGAGCTCCACCATTCAGTCTGTGCTGTCATTTATTGGCTACCAGCCCCACCCTGACGCCCCACAGAGGTATGGACCAAGCAGGTTAAGTCACTATAGTACTTTAGGTATAATAGTAGTCAATTTATTTGTATCAGTAACTCACAATTTGCCATCAGAGGTGGATAAAGTTATTGCCTCATTTGCATTTGAAAACGAAGAGCTGGCTGAGATTTGGCCAAGGTTTTTCTTCTCCCTGCTTGACAATTCTCAACCTTCATTTTTTGTTCGGCACTAGCCTTCATCCAACGACAGGCTAGAGCCCGTCTCTTAATCAACGTTCTCCGGCTACATTAACCTTTTCATGCATGACGGTCACTACAGTGGACAGCTATGAAAATGTCATTTTCTGTGATAAGAATAGGTTTTGATGGCAGTGTTGCATATAAGCCTCGACAGTGGACGCCTGAGAATCACCCAACACTGCCATACAGTGGTCAGCCGTTGGAACTGCAAAATAATTGTGTCAACATTCAAAAAGAAAATTTGGTGTATAAAAACAGAACCAAATCAGTTCTTATTTTTATGTCTAAAAACACATAAAAACACTTTTTTAACTCAGTATATCATGGGTCATGCATCAAAGGGTTAAAATAGTGGGAAATCCGAGTGCGCACGACCACGCAATTTTCTTTCAGTTATCTGAGACTGTTTTTCCACACATTACATTTTTTACTCAGTAACAAGTACTTTTACAATGTAAAGATACTTGAGGCAAAATGTACTTATATGAAAGTACAAATACCTATTCCTAAAACTACTTAAAAAATTTGAAATTACTCACAGTATTATAATATTGGTAATATTTCACTGATAACATTTCTGTTTTTTTTAACACCAACTGTCTCAAATTACAAAGTGTGTTTAGACTTGTGGAGGGTGTGAACCCAGAAAAAGCTGTCTTGATGGGGTTTGAGTTGCTACTGGCCAGGGTGGAATGTTACCAACTCTTGGAGCTCCTGAAGAAAAATCAGCTGGAACCACAGGTATTTCTTCAATATTCTGCCATTAAAAAGGAATGAGGAATTGTATAAATTAAAATAGGAAGCTGTCTGTCTGACATATTTGCTGTCACGCTGCAGCAGTGGCAGGAGCTCCTTCACAGAAGAGCGGGGATCACAAAACAGGAGGAATCCAAAGAAAAGAGGACTACTGCAGAACACAGAGAAAAGAAGAGGAAGGAAGAGCAGAGGAAAAAGGAGGTAAGGTAGAAAGAGAGACAGAGACAAAATGTATTATCAAATGGAATCATGAATTCACGCCCGTCTTGCGGAACAGCTCATTAAGAGCTACAATGGTTTCATTCGATTTTTTTACAGAAGTAAAACTGACTGTACTTCCTGTACACAAACTTCAACAGGCGTGAGTGTGTGTTATATCCAATCCTGTAACTTACAAACAAAAAATATAACAAAACCTTTATTGTACAAACTGTTGATTGTTGACAAACGATGCCTTTTTTCATTGGGCTGCACATGTATATCAGCGTTTATACAAATGTACGCAAATCAAATGTACAAAGGAAGATTGTTCTGCATGTACTACTTTATATGTAGTAAAAGAACAGAAGGAATTGTGATCCGTTGCTACCATAATTAGTAGATTCATAGGTAGTGTTTTACGGCTTTGGTGCTTGGAATACTTCCAGACAGAAGCAATAATAAGCAGTACAAAGCAGACTAGTTCCTACTGTGTTGCATCACACTTAATACGTTGTTGTCTCTGTGGACTAGGGATGCACCGAAATGTCTTGGCCAAAACTGGAAATGAAAAAATGAGGAGGCCAAGGCCAAAAATCAAGGCATTACAATTGCATAAATTAATTATTACTGTACTATAAGGAGTATAAGTCGCACCATTTAACGTATGGAAAAAAAAAACACAGATACTGGTACACAAGCCTAGAGTGCCCTCTAGTGCCTGTCAGTGTGAAAGTAACAAACGTAAAATGATATATTTCGATATATAGTCGCAAACCCAGCCAAAGGATGGAAAAAAAAAAGGTGCAACTTATAGCCCAGAAAATACGGTAATGTTTCAAAGAATAAATCAATTACAAAAATTATGGAAATATTTATTTAGCACATCCCAATGCTTCCCAACAATGCACAATAAAAAATGTATTCATGGACGTGAGTTGCAACAACATTAAACCGCTCCGGTAAACACACGTCGGGGCTCAATGTACTCAACCGGTCTACTAAATCTCACATCTACGACGGAGAACATCTGATCATCGAAGGCGATGAATCCCAGTGTTTTCAGACTTGTTTATTTCACACATTTAAATGTGACCGTTCTTATTGTTTTACTGAACCTCGCCATTTTATGTTAGCATTGCCAACTTTGGTCAGTTGGCACAAGTGAGACTTTACGCGTGAGAAGATTGAATGGGCGACAGCAGAAACGAGAGCGAGGATTCAAAATAATGGCCTCCTTGGCAATATTACATACAATACAACATTTACAGCAGTGAACAATATGCCACCTTCAAACAATCCATTTTGCCAGTCTCCTGTTTAACATTTACAGCAGTGGACAATATGCTGGGTAATGTTTCATTCTTTAATTCCATCCTCACCCCCCCCCCGTAATCGCACTAACACCCCCCCAGGGGGCATGCCATCCACCTGGGATACTTTGCATTAAATAATTATTATGTCTCAGGACCTCATGCAAGGTACAATTAAAAAAATGTAAACAATGCTATTTTTACATCACACCAGTCTATGCTAAAGCCTAGTGTTTTTTTTCCCCCCAGTTACCCTCATATCCAGAAACCAGGAATTCGGTGAACCCACTGCCCAAACCTCGACGCCGTCCGCCTATCGCCCCAGACCACTCTATCATGGAGATGCAGAGGACCTACCCAGACCTGGCCTTCAGAGGACGCCGTTTGGTATCAGACACACCTAACCAAGCATCAGTCAGCAGAAGTGCCAGCAGTATAGCTGCCTACACTGGCAGTGAAGACAATAAGGACGAGAACAAAGTTTCTGAGCTATCTAAAAGCAAATCTTTCAGTGGCCTCAGGGCTTTACCTACAACGGAGGGAGGCAAACACGATGGAAGCAAAGTTGAAGGGGCAGCGGCGGCGGATTATAGCAGAATTGGTAGTCACGATGACGCCAATGCGATGACACCAACCCTTCACATTACACTGAGAGCTGGAGTCACTCAACAGGATCAGGAAAACCAAGACCATGAAAACCTAAAACCTGGTGATACGCCGCAAAGCACAACAGAGCCTGCTACAGGTAATACCCCCCCCCCCCCCAATTTACTTATCAGAGTAAACTAGAGTAAACTTGTAGGACAACGCAAGGGGTTTCATGCCATATGGCTGTGGCCCAGACCAAGACCCAATTTTTAACCTTCTTGGTCAAAGACTATCAAGGAAGGATAATGAAGGGTTTGTTAGAAGGCAGGGGAACAGGAGTGTCAGGAGTGCGGAAATTGGAATGTAGAGACAGTGACCCGTTGAAGGTAGAGAGCTGGCAGACACGGTTGATTTCAATGTTTGTAAAGATTTTTGATGTACCGTATTTTCCGAACTAACTACTAGCCAAAAATGCGTAATGAAGAAGAATTAAAACATATATAAGTCGCTCCTGAGCAATGTTCCCTACAATGCGGGTCTTTCTCGGGAGGAAATGAGACATATGCACTTTAGTAAAAATGAAAACACATTTACAGTTTGCACAATGACGTGTGCTGCAGCTTGTGATACAGTGTGAATTCCTGTAACCCATTGTCTGCAAAAATATAATTACACAGTTTTTTTATTAACATTCATACTACCCATAAATTATCTTGCAGTAAAAGCATTTAATTATAAATATCCATACATGAAAAATCTTAATGTCAGTAGAAAATGCACTAATCTAACTTCAATTTTCACCTTATTTTTCATTATCTGTTGATGGCAAACTCTACTGCTACTTTGCTACTTTGGCTTTGCTGCCAACCTGTTTTTCAAAGCAGACATTTCTTACTCGAAAAAAGAATAAATCTCATCCACTTTTACCACTTGCTCTTCTGTTTGCATATATATATTGCGATAGCCATTCCGTCTCAAAAGAACTGCAGTTCTTATTTACTTTGACTTGGTGAGTTGCCCGTTCGTTAGCAGTTACGTCTTTTGATTCCACCGCACCGTTGCTGCGTAGCGTAAGTGAACCATCTCGTATCATTGGATGGACACCTGTCACTCATTTTTTTGGACCAATGGTTAATAAAATTAATACCTACAACACAGGTTTATGTTGAATTTCATTTTATGCGCTGCAAAGATTTTCTCGTGAGTTGAGAACGCTCGAGCTAGTGATGTGCGGATCGATCCTGAAATATCGATACTTCCGATTCCGGATCTTTGGCTCTGAAATCGATTCTGAAATCAAAATATCGATACTTTTGATACTTACGCATTCTGAGATGAGGTGTATCCTAAACAGAAACATGGTGAAAAGTATCCAAATTATTGAGATGTTGTCTAAGTGACGCTCGGTTGGTGGGACTACTTCTTCTTCCGCCTGGGTGTGTGCGTCATGCTTAAGCACAGGGGCTCTACTCCGTGCTCTCACTCAGTCACTATTGATGGGAATTTCGGCTCTTTTTTGGAGAACCGGTTCTTTTGGCTCGGTTCACTGAAAAAATCCGACTCTTTCGGGTCCCAAATGGCTCCTCAGATTATTTATTTTATTTTTTTATTTATTTTTGTTTTACAAATAACATGTTTTCAGAGTTTGAAACATTGTTTTGACATATTTTATATGATTGTGTTCTCAGGTTTTTCTATTGTTGTGTTGACTGTATAGTAAATGAGGCAGCTACCTCAGTACACAGTACAATGATTTGAAATACACTTTATTTTGGTTAATTAGACAAATGATAAAATATCGGTATCGATATCGGTATTGGCGATACCAGCCCGAATTTTACTCGGTATCGGATCGGAAAGGAAATTGGTGGCATCGAACATCACTAGCTCGAGCAGTGCGCACATGCGCAGCTTAGAGGGAACATTGCTCTGGAGTATAAGTATAACCAGTGCCCTCTAGCGTCTGTCAGTGTGAAAATAATGAACATGTACATTTTCAGTAGTACAGGGGTAGCTGATACTGGTACACACGCCTAGAGTGCCCTCTAGCGGCGGTCAGTGTGAAAATAACAAACTTGTCAAATAATATATTTTAATATATAAGTTGTGTTATTTTCTGTGTCATGCAAGAGTACAGCAAAGCTTTCTGATCAGTAATTTTTTTTTAACAGATGTTCAGGACAGAAGGGGTGACAGACCTGAGCTTTCCAGAATGAGCTCCATTGAGGAGGAGCTGGTGCTTTTGAAGCTGTCAGAGAGGATGGATGCGCTGCACGTATAAGAAATAGAGTCTCTGGTCACTGTAGGTCAATAACAGAAATTGTTATCACATGTGTTATTTTTGTTTTTGAAATAATGAAGTTTACGATGAACCTTTTTCAGTTTTGGTATACAATAACATGATATAACATTTGAATGGAAAAAACAAAAAACTATTGACAGTATTGTGTGTTTTTTAAAACAGGTAAAAAGCATAGGTTTCAAAAAGCAAGATCAATCATTCAGCCGGAGCTTACTCTGATATTGTCTGTATTCTTAAATATTTTGCCTATACAGGAGGCGATAAGACAAGTTTTTGTTAATAGCATTCATTTTTAAAGAAATATATTTAAATAATATATATATTAAAAAAGGTTCATTCTTTTTGACGTATTCTCCAAGTGCTTTCAGATGAACGTGTGAGGGTAAAGGGATGCCAAAGAAAGTCGTTGCACTGTATATCACAGTTAAAAAAAAAAGGAAAAAGTTTAGACGTTACATAAAATTACAAGACCTTCATTTAAAATGCTGTTGACAGTTGAATTTGACATCACGTGAAGCATGCCGCTATGATTTTGTCACGATTTTCTTCATACTGGTTCTGCATCTCCTGGCGGTCATGGTCAGCAGGGATTACCTGTAAAAACAGAGACTTTTTTTGCTTTCATCAACGGGCTAAAAAAAAAAATCATTACTTATTCATGAAATTCATAGATTGTGTACAAAAACTGGACAGAGCTGATTTGCTTCGAAGCTGAGGTTGTGGAAAACACAATAAACTGCTACTAGTTTGATTATGAATGAAATGTGTCCTTATGTATCTGTGAGTATGTCATTATGACTCTTATGTCACTTACCAAAACAGGAGCAGGTAGGGGGAAGGAGGTTTGTTTGATAAGCCAGTCCTCATGAAGCTGGTGGATAGAGTCCAAATATTTCTATTTGAGGACAAAGACACAAGGTTACTTTTGTCATAGAATTTCCCAAAAATCTCAAATTTCTCTCAAACCTTCCAAATGAAACCTTCTATTTCAATCGGATCCGAGTAACTTAATCACAAAGTGCTCTGCTCCAATTTCCACTGTGTCTTTATTTAGTCCAAAGTGTGATCGGTCGGTAAAATGTTGTTGCTTAAACCACATATTGTGTGTTATATACCTCTCACTTCAATTAGCATTATTTAATCGGTCGGTAAAATGTTGTTGCTTAAAACACGTATTGTAGTTATATACTGTACCTCTGACTTCAATTAGCATTATTTCAATATAATTCAAACAATCATTCAATATCCAAAGTTTCCTTCCAGGGCCACCTTTGGCTCATAAGAAAAAGTTTTTGCACCCCCACCCAAAACAAAAAAAAAAGGACACACGCATATTTTGTTTTCAGACTTGTTTCTCTCACACATTTAAAATGTAATATTTGTATTACATTATGTAATATGTTTTTTCCGGATCTTAAACTCGTCCATTTTATGCTAGAATTGTATTCTTGTATTTTGGATATTTGCTCTGTTGCGGGTTTTTGTGGTATATAAAAAAACATTTAATTTCCAATATTTTCACGGTAGAATAAACATTTTTTTAGATTAAGCAGTAAAAAAAAACTGTAAAAAAAATTAATTAAAAGACATTTTGTAACACATATGTACAGGGTATTGCAAGAAATAACCCGTATGTACGGGGTAATATAATAACTATGGCGTCTCTACTTCAATAGTATGATCAGATATTCATAATACGCCACCTTCAACCAATCCATTTTTTTTTTTACCAGTCTCTTGTTAAACATTTACAGCATTGGGGGGACACAAAGTAATTCCACTTTTCTGATTTCCTTTTTTGGTGAGAATCTCCTTTTTTAAGAATTACTGTGGTTATTATATACTGTGGCGTTTAGAGAGCAAAAGCGGTGAATGTGTCGAGGCGAGGTACTTTTCTTCTTACCAATGGAATCACTTTTTCCTCCTCTCTACACCGTTGCTTTAACCTGTCATGGCAGGTCTGCGGAGATGTCTGCAAGTAAACTGGAGTCAGAGGAAAAAGTCAGGTAACTTAAAAGTGTCGGTATGGTATTTTAAACTATAATTTGTAGTAACACAACACTATACTTTATTTTACTTTACACAAGCTGTTTCTGACCAACTTCACTTTTCGTTTGTTTCATGGATGTGTACTCCTTGTTTTATTATTTACATAAAAATGTTTCCCTGTTTTTCCGGACTATTAGTTTGTATTATTTACACTATGGCACTGGTGCGACTTATACTCCAGAGCGACTTATAGTCCGGAAAATAAGGTAGATAACTAGTTCGTTTAAGGCACAGTTCAAGTTAATAAACAAGACAACAAATGTTCATTTCAATCTAATCTAATTAGAAGTCATTAACTGTGATAATGTTATTTTCTCACCAATCAGATCAACAGGAATGGAAATGTTAGTTGTGATCCAGTCAAACCATTCGCTGAGAATAGCATAGTCCACTGCTGGCATTTTTCCACTGAAATGGCAGGACAAAACAGTTCATCCGTTGGTAAGGTCTGGCCATCTCTCATTTTAGTTATTCAGTTTAATCCTCTCTTAAAAGGACTATTTGTCCAAGCAGAGATGTGTCTCAGAACAAAGGTACAGTAAAGGTGACCATACCTTCTGGAGAGGTTCTCTACAAAAATGTACTTGGCACTGAAGATGGACCGCTCCATCATCCTAACACTGGCAGACTTTAACTGGAAAAAAAAAGGAGCTCATTTGCTTATAAGTTACGCAGTTGTTAAAGTGTCTATGTCATAGAATAACGGAAAGATATGCATAAGTAAAGCAGCAAACTCTACACTCACCATGGGTGTCAAGTGCCTATCAAGCATGGTGAGCTGAACGTAGGTCTGCAGTGTCATCCCCCAGCGCTCAGGATCCTGGTACATTAGAGACTGCAGAGTCAAAACACCAAACAAAAATCAAATTAACAAAGAATTGTGTGCATCCCCCTGCAGAGTCAAAACACCAAACAAAAATAAAATTAACAATGAATTGTGACCATACCTAGCTTAGCTAAAAGGGTAGATTTTGCAATACAAAACCGAATTCACACACTCCGATAGCTTAGCTGTCAGATTTATATGTGGGTGTACAAATCCGACGGGGCATACAAAGGCTGAGTCCCGAAAAAAAACTCTCACATGCACAATTCAACTCCTACGAGAACATTTATTACAGTTATTAGGAGATCAAACTGTAAATCATTTTGCAGCAAGACATGTACACTATCCACAGTTCCACTGTTTGGTCTAAACTAAGAAAATATGCTAAATATAGTAATATGCTACATATAAACAGTGACGATTAACACATTCATGTCTCATATTTACATGATTATTGCTATATAATACGATTTACACTACCAGAGGATTGTGTCCTTGTACATCCCTCCATTTGGACACAGGTTCTGTAAGTACCTGGATACAAACAGACAGGGAGATAAAACACACCAATAAACAGCGAGCACACTGAGAGGAAATTTCAAATGCTCAATAAATACAATTTTGATAATAAAAAAAATTGGACGAATGGTTTCATATGCAATTTCACCACAGAAGAGTAGAAAATCAGGTAAGGGTAACACAGTGAGTTAGATCTCTGACATTTTTCTTTTTGGTTAACATAATAGCAAACAAATCAAAAGTGACAAAACAGAATAGGGCAATAACAGAAGTTGACATGGTTGTACCTCTATGTTGCTAGTTTTGCTGAAGTACTCCAGAAATGTGGTTTTACCACTGGCAATATTCCCTTCAATGCAGACCTGAGGAGAGAAAAGCCATATAGCCAGATGTTAACAGATACTTTAGCAGAGTAAGAGCAAACCTCAATTAGGGCAAGGGGAAATGACAAAAAGATATGTGGTAATTAAGGCTTACCACAGCTTTTCTATCTTCTCCATTACGCACCAGTTTCCCTTTAAAAGAAGACAACAGAGGTTAGACAAGACTTCATTAGACTGACAACGCTACCATATTTTTCTCCAGAATATGTCACGAGAGTGTCCTTTAGTGGCTATCAGTGTGAAAATAACGAACATAAAATGACATATTTTTAATATATAAGTCGCAAACCCAGCCAAAGAATGAAAAAAAGGTGCGACTTATAGTCCGGAAAAAACCTTTACAGGATTGTAGGTATTACACTGTCAATTGGCGTACCACTAACACAACACGTGAATACAGACAGCTTTATTTTAATTTTATTTACATTAGGTTACGGCACAGATTGATGCATATCATTCTCCCCCAGTTATAGATTTTTAGTTAGTAATGTGGTAAAAAAACGATTCTCATGACTATGACCTGCCTTTGCAATGTATTTGTGTTCATGTTTGGTTGACAACATACAGCAAAGTATCAATTTTGAGAGAAGAAGAAGTCGTCCGGGAAAAATGATAAAAAAAACCATTTTGTATTTGTTTTTCTTAATTAACATTTTACATAAACAATAATCAGTTATTTTGAGCATGAGTGTCTTTAAAATGCACCATAACATGTCATACATAAAATTATCATATTTTGGGGCGACAGTGGATATCTGCACTGTTTCATTTGTTTCATAATGAAAGTGTAAAAATGTGTAAATATGATTAAGTCATTTGTCATGTTCAACTAATTAATTCTCTCTTCACTCATAATTGCCTTATAATAAAGTCCTGTTTTTTAACCTGATTTTTTTTTATATAACACAGCAATTAACAATATTTGTAATTTGAATAAATAATAATCAACTGCAGAAACATTTATTGATACGTCATGAAGTAGTTACATTTCTACAGCCTTTCATTTACAACCGACCCTTAAAAGGAAACTGTATTGCTAATGTGGCCTCTTCGTGAAAATAAGTTTGACATACGTGGTTTACATGTTCGGTTTCAAATGTAAAACCTACGTTTGTGCGTAACTGTATTTATGTTTTTGTGAAAGAATGCCTCAACATTTTAATATCGGCATTAAAACATATTTACAATGCTATCCTGCTGTTTGTGTTATACTATATTGAGATAGTTACTGAAACTGGCTTAATATGGCACAGCCCCACCCAGCAGGTTTCATCTGCCACTGCTTTTAATTTCTTCTTTTGGGAATTAATCTGTAAAAAGAAAATAACGTTACTAACCCGTGTCACACCGCTGTTGCTGGGAGTCACTGTAAACTCTGCTGTTCATCCAGCTTCCGCTTCCGGCCATCGGGTTTATTTTTCTCCTACAACCAGCTGTAAGTAGAGATCCCGAAGCTATAGACACTTGTTTCGCACATTTGAACAACAGCGACCCAGTACAACCGGAGATCCACATCTCAACATACGCACTAAATTGCTTTGGCTCCTAACAGGTGACCAAACCAATCGGGAAATACTTCTTCCGCTGACGCTGATGCTGACGCAACGCAAAAGAAAAAGACTCCGCCTAGACTAACGCCATCTTCTGTACGGTGTAGAATATTTCTCACAATACAAGAGGCATTACTAAAGAATGCTTCGAGTCTTTATGATTTCCGTTTCCATTTTTTTATATAAGACATAACATATTATCGTGTGACTTAAAACATCAGCTATGATATATTCCAAATATAAATTGTAAAGTTATCTGAACTGGAATTGGCAAGAAAATAAATTATTATTAAAAAAAAACTTTTTTAAAAACAAACAAACAAAAAAGCCATTAAAAATAGTTCCGCCTTAAATTATTAAAGTATTTTAGTGTCCGTATTATAAGTGTTGTAGTGAAGGGCTCTGTTTAAATTATTTAGATGTATTTTAATTTTACATTATTTTGATTGTATATAATTACATATTTTTTATTATATGAACACGTGTATTTCACAATGAGTACATACACCGATTTTGCTACTGTAGTCCTTAAAATGTTTTTTAACACAAGCAATAAAGCTCCAGACCACTAGATGGCGACGATGGAGTTATTTGTTAGCTAGTTGGACAACTGGTGTAGGAGCGGCTGCAACATTGATTTTAAGAAAGACTTCAAACGTGCTCAAGCCAGTCTAAAGTCAGGATGGCCTCCGCAGATTTTGAGTCGAAACGCAAAACAATTCAAAGTTTCGTCCGAGCATATCCGGACTTTCCACAGCCAGGAATCCTATTCAGGTATGCAAATGTTGTCTGTTCTGAAGGCTTTATCGGCAGTAAAGATGTTTGTATTTTCTGGTTTTCCGTGTCTGCTTCTCGCTCACGTTTTCCCAGCAAGGAAATTTTAGCTCCAAGTCATGAAGACTGAAAAAGTAGTTCGCACAAGTCAGAGTTTGTGTTTCTATCAGTCTATTTGAACCAAAAGTATTAATACTTTTTATTTTCAACTTTTACATGTAGCGCCGTTATTCATTAACTCCATTTACATTTTACGGACTTTATTAACTTTGGTTCCTACGGTAATACGGTCCAAGGTCCTTCCCTGTTAAGCTCATCGGGACGTCCACCGATGGTGGGGACGTCCGCTGTCCCGGACAGGGTAAGAGGAGGTTCCCAGAACTCGAGTTGTCAGTTGAATATTTGTCAACGTCTACGTGTTGTTTCATGTCTTTCGCGCTTTGAAACAGACCTGCTGCTGACCTACTACTTGCTGCTTATTTCCATGACCAACAGTGTTCGTATGCTTTTTCGTGGATTTTCAAGAGCGATATTAGATCTGGATATTCAGTCTATCTATTGCTTAAAGTGCTGTGTGTACCTGCCTGTGTATGTTGGTTATACAGAGACATCTGTCCCATCTTGAGGGATCCAGCTGCTCTGAATACGGTGATCGACCTGTTTGAAGAACATGTGAAAAAGAACCACATGAAGGTTGATGTGGTCGTAGGTGAGTAAAAATAAAGAAGCAAATTGTTGTTTTTTTTTAATGATTATTGTTTAATGTATCATTTCAATTAATACGTATTTACTCGACTATGATATGCTAGCTGCATACAACCCCCGATTATTAAAATAGATTAATAAAATGAGGTGCTCTGCTGCCCTCTAGTGATTGGCACACACACACACACTATTTGAGAAGTACTAGACCAGGGCTGAATGAAGACTGACAATTCTCAGTCGTTTTATTTGTAACAGAACACGTATATACAGTATTTTAAGGCAAGTTGTATAACTACATGACACGTATATACAGTATTTTAAGGCAAGAATTAATGCGTGAAGTTGTATAACTACATCTTCATGTTATAAATGTGGTGACTTTTTTATGCTTTTTAAAACGTGTTATTGTCATACCAGTCGACTATCGCTGGTCAGCTGTATTAGCTTTTTGTATTTTTTCTATGGAGTTAGTTTTTCTTTAATACACCATCAAAATGCATATATTTTTTTGTATGTGTATAGGTATAGATGCCCGTGGTTTCCTGTTTGGACCTTTACTTGCCCAGCGACTTGGGGTTGGCTTTGTTCTGGTCAGAAAGAAGGGCAAACTGCCTGGATCATGCGTCTCTGTGGCATATGATCTAGAGTACGGCAAGGTACAAAAAAAAAAATCTTTCTTTACAATAGGACTTGACTTTGCAGTATACTGTATATCCTGCATGTATGTAAGAGATCATATCACGTATGTATATATATGTGTATATGTGTGTATGTGTGTATATGTACTGTATATATGTATGTGTGTCTGTGTATGTATATGTATGTATATATGTGTGTATATGTGTGTATATGTATATGTGTATATATATATGTGTGTATATATACATATATATGTATATATGTGTGTATATGTATATTCATATATATGTATATATATGTGTGTATATATGTATATACTGTATGTGTATATATGTATATATATGTATGTATAAATATATATATATGTAATATATATTACGTTACAATACATTTAGCAGACACTGTTATATAAAACGACTTACAATTTGAGTCAGTCAATCAACAATCAAGCTACAGTAAACATACAAAATACATGAATAATATATATAAATAAATATATACAAATAAAAGTAAAAAAAAAAAATTTAACTTTTATTTATTTATTTATTTTATTAAGGCAGAGGCAGAGGTGCAGGAGGACGCCGTGGCTGCAGGACAGAAGGTTCTGCTCATCGACGACCTTCTGGCAACCGGAGGTATTTTTTAAAACCCAGTGAATTTTACGCTGTCTCAGCCAAACTGACTCCAGATGAGGACACCGTGGATTTTGCTTTTTGTTTTAAACCGATGTCGCTAGTTTTATGTTTTCTTAAACTCACTCTATGCATTCAGTGCTCACACAGGTTGATTGGTGACATGGTAACAGGCTCCAGTCCAGTTTCTTTCTCATGCAGATGCCTGAGCTATTCAGCGCTCGGCAGCACCGTTTCTTTCTCATGCAGATGCCTGAGCTCGGCAGCGCTAAACACTGCTTTGTTTCAGCCTCACAGTTCGTCAAGCTCAACCCTTTGCCTTTTTAATAGCCTTCTTCCTTTTTCTTTCTCAATGTTCTTTTTTTACCACACCATTTCCTGGAGCTGTGTTGTGAAAATTATACAACACTGGCCTCTTCCCAGCTGCCGCTTGTGCAAACCTGAGCATTTTTTTTGAGTCGCTGTCAATCACGAGTGGTGTGTAATCAAATTCCCCAATGTGTAAAATTAGATCTCATCGCATGTGGTTGATTTTTGCCTTAGGCTCTTTGACTTTCTATTTATATGACGAGACATAGCGCTGTCCACATATAAGACTCACTACTGTTGTCTGCGAGGGTAGACTTCGTAATCAACCCGTGCCTCACAAACCTATCCACATCATACAGCGTTTGTTTGTGCTTGTTACAGGCACCTTGTTTGCGGCTGTGGAACTGATGAAGAAGCTGCAGGCCGAGGTTCTGGGATGCCTGGTGATCATTGAGCTAAAAGACCTGAATGGCAGCGACAAGCTCAAACCGCACAGTGTGTTCTCTATTATTCAGTACTGAGGGGTTAGAAAACCTGGTGGTTCACTTAAAAGAGTAAACACTGGGTTTCATAACAATCAGGTCACATGTCTTATTAGCATTAAAATAAGTCAGCAACCACTAAATCCTTTCTTTCATGGTAATTTTCACAACTTGTTAATCATTCAAAAATGCCAGCCAGCCACAGTCAGCAATATTACCGACATGCTTTATTAAATGTTTTTGTAAAAATTTTTGGAATACCATGAAAATTATTTTATGGACATAATGACTAGTATTTTCCAGAGCAAGGGGCTCCTAAAACTTCCAGCCATGCACAAATACTGTGTTACAACGACTAGTATTTTCCAGAGCAAGGGGCTCTACAGTGTTAACAAGTCCAACTTTGTTTGGGTTTTGAAATGACCAAATAAATGGAAATGTGCAACACTGCTCCTAGATCATGATGTCCATTTAATTACGATTAGCATTTACATAAGAAAAAGTGATGTCAAAATCTATTAGATTTAGTTACCGTCGTTGTTTTTTTTCTTTCAAAACCACTAGCACCAGGGAAATTGTGAAGTTGCTGCAATGGTAAAATGTGAATGGTTGTAAAATCTTGTTTGTACTAATAAATTCTTTACAAACCCAAAAGTGTTTTGCTTTAGATTTTTTTTAATTGACAGCTGGTATTTTTCAGTTCTAAGACAAATTCTTATCACTCATAACAATTTTTCAATTTGTCAGTTTCTCATCAAGTATATTTTTTTTAAATTCAGACTGATTTTCTTTCCGCTCATAATTGCCCCGTAAGAAAAAAAAAAACATTTGAAGCATCAGGGTTATTTAAAAAAAGAAATTGTATTTCTTAAACGCCCCCGGGGGCCACACAAAACGGCTCGGCGGGCCGCATTTGGCCCCCGGGCCTTGAGTTTGACACATATGTCCTAGATCATCATGTCCATTTAATTACGATTAGAGAGGCAAGCATTTGTAATTACGATTAGCATTTACATAAGAAAAAGTGATGTCAAAATCTATTAGATTTAGTTACCGTCGTTGTTTTTTTTCTTTCAAAACCACTAGCACCAGGGAAATTGTGAAGTTGCTGCAATGGTAAAATGTGAATGGTTGTAAAATCTTGTTTGTACTAATAAATTCTTTACAAACCCAAAAGTGTTTTGCTTTAGATTTTTTTTAATTGACAGCTGGTATTTTTCAGTTCTAAGACAAATTCTTATCACTCATAACAATTTTTCAATTTGTCAGTTTCTCATCAAGTATATTTTTTTTAAATTCAGACTGATTTTCTTTCCGCTCATAATTGTCCCGTAAGAAAAAAAAAAACATTTGAAGCATCAGGGTTATTTAAAAAAAGAAATTGTATTTCTTAAACATTATCAAAATTAAAATAGTAATTCCTCTTCATTTAAAAAAAATGGGTCATAAACTGGAGATGCAGTGATGTGAACATTTATAGATGGGGGGGGGAAACATGAAAACAATGATAAAACCACCTGTTCACAACAGGAGCATAAATGTGGCGTTAAAGTGACTGCACTGTTGTTATGAAAGACACAACAGTTTAAAAAAAAAAAAAAAAAAAAAACAGTGTAAAACCAATGCCAGAAGGGGGAAAAATATTTTAGAGTCTCTCCTCTTCTTTTAGTCTTTTGTTTAGTTTTTCCAGGACACTGCTCAGCTCCATGTTCTTATTTATCTTCAGGTAGAAATCCTTCCTGATTGGGTGGATAGTTAGCCAATCACCTGCCACTTCAGCCAACAGTCTAAGGTGCTTCTCCATCTCGCCTGGTAAAACACAGTAAAAGTGACTTAGACCTCATTGTTTAATTGTCATCAAATTAATAATACAATACCTGACTTTTAAAATGACTGATTAAACCAAAGTAAGGGAAATATAGTTGCAGCAATTCAATGTGATCAATGAAACTCTGTTGACCTCCCCCCCCCCACTCGGCAGAAATTATACTACATCCTGAACGACCATGACCATGAAGTTTTGAAAATAACACTGCGTTTAGTGTGTGTGTGTTCACGCTTAATGGCACAATTTATAAGAAATTTAACGCTAAGGAATAGCATCTCACAAACTAAAGAGACCCTGTGTCAATCTGGGTGATGACACGGGGAAACTTCTTTTTATCTCCCCGCGACTCACTGCGTATAATGAACAAAATGCACAGGCAAACAAATTAGCATTGATGATTTGCCAACGTCACTATACCATAGGGACATAAGAAAACAGATGCGTTGATATATCGCAATAAACTTGATATTGTATTGATATTCTACAGCTCTATACAAATTTGTTTGAGAACTCCTGTAAGTGAGTGGGAAGTGTGAATAGGTATTGATAAGAACGATGACGTATAGGTTGAAAGTCCATGATGTATGATTTTTTGAGGATTGTCTCAATATGTCTTTATACTCTTTTATACTTGTTAGGAATGTTTCACCATGTGCGCCTCAGAACTCTGAGGGTAAGCATGGTGGCTACATGCTAATCAGCTAGCCTTATTGTGCGAAAAGGCCCTTCATTGAAAAGCCGTCAGAGATACATGAATGTTTCTTAATTTCTTAACGTTTTTAATTTGACTTAATTTCTGTGTCATTGTAAGCAGAGTAAACTAACTCCAAAAAAAAAAAAAAAAGATTGCCAATTATCATGATGCTAACGCTAACTATGAGCAGCGCTGCCATTGCTGTAGCTAAATGAGAGAAGTAGACTGCCGTTCTCTCTGGTGACACATACCTGCACTAAGCGCAGACCTGTAGCTAGCCATCATCCGGTTACACGCCACCTCCATTATCAATGCTGGCCTCTTCTCTGCAACAAAAACTGTCCGCAGAATTCTCGACAGCTCCTCGAGCCGTGACATCATCAGCAGGCGCTCCTCCTGCACAGGGTTTCGCATCATGGATGCCTGGAGTTTCTGAGCCTCTTTTGCCCGGATCTGAAACGCCAAAAAAAAAAAAAAAAAAAAAAAAAGTTCTACACTAGACCAAAACATTGAGGAATAATCACTGGTGAAAAAAACCTGTCCCTGTACCTACCCTGTCCAGCAGAGACTGAGGCACTCCTTTTAGTGCAGCTGGGACTTGAGCAGCAGACGCAGTTGAAGCCACCGTGTTCGAGTCATCAGGTTTCTGTGGAGTTGTCAAATCTCTACTCTCTTCATCTCTCTCATCCGACTTGAGAGTGAGAGAAACCAGAGCCTTCTCCATCTGAACATGGGCCAGAGTAGAAAGCGATTAAAGACTCTAGAGTTTGACATTAAACTGGAAACAAGGGCCATGCTTTATCATTAAAGCCGTCACCGAACCAAAGAGCTTTTTGTAATCACATCTTTTGTCATCCCCGTTTACATACAGAGCTGTGATATGAATGAAAGTGCCTCGCTTGTTTTTACTTGCTGAACAAGTAACAACACGTTTAAATGCAAAACTGATATTTTCGTACAAAAAAAAACCCAAAAACATTCCTCATTATGAATTGTACATTGTAGATAAATTTAACCCCGTCTGGAATTGTGTGGTGTTGGGTCAAAGTGCCAACGTTAGGGTAGTTAAATTCATTTTCCTTGCAAAGCACAGCCGTAAGACCTGTTTTAATTTCTGATTTCAGTATCTCGTATTTTGACCCAGAATAAGCAATTGCACTAATAAAACATAGGAGTTGCATCTTTCAAAGCGTAAAACCTTTACGCTTTACAACTAATTTATAACGTATTCATAAATGTTTCTGCAACTGATTATTATTTATTGACATTACAAACATTGCACATTGCTCAGTAATATTATACTACTAATAATATAATACTATAATATTATATTATATACAGCTGTAAAAGCTGTAAAAGTGGTGTCTAGTTTATAAATGTCTCAGTACCTTAGGTGTGATGAGAGAGCGGGCCTTGTCCAGAACTTCCTGGGCTGTGGAAAGTTTCTCAGTGTTTGGTGGCTGAGGCAGAGGACTGACCGGGACGGCAGGTACAGTGTCAACATTAAAGCGAGGGTGCCAGCGAGTCAATTTGTCATCCGGGACAGACACTGGAGGAACCAATGACGACAGGAACTCCTGCAGACACAGACGGAGTTAGTGCCACTGATTTACTTTTGGAAATCATTTGAGACCTAAAAATACAATTTTGTCAGGCAGCAGTGTCAAACGTCCAGTTGTAAATGCTGTGTATATAATGGAGGGTATAGACCAGGCATGGGCAAACTAAGGCCCGGGGGCCGGATGCGGCCCGCTCCGCTTTGTAATCCGGCCTTTCAAACTTGTCTAAATTATATAATTGGTTTGTATTGTGATTGTACTTCTGCGTTTTCCCTGCAATGCCCACGTTTTCCCAATCGATGGCGTAGAAACGGCTAAAAGCATTTTAGCATATTAGCCTTTTCGCCGTTAATTTTTAGGACCAATTGTGGCCCACGAGTCAAATAGTTTGCCCACGCCTGGTATAGACACAACTCCATAAGGTATTAATAAATATTTCTGCAAATTGATTAATCATTTATTCAAGCTATAAATACTGTTCATTGCTGTGTATTAAAAAAAATAATTTATCAAGTTGAGAAACTCGGACGTTATGAAATGCTTTTTAAGCTCCTGCGGGCCATACAAAATGACTTGGCGGGCCGCATTTGGTCCCCAGGCCTTGAGTTTGACACGTGTGTTCAAAGGAAAAAAAAAAAAAAAAAAAAAACACCCCAAGATATCAAAGAGTTCTACAAAGAAAAAAAAATGCAATGTGACTAACCTTGTGGTGTTGTTTGACAATCTTAACCATGTTTCCATGGAAAACACGTCTTCTTTCGAGCAAACGAGAAGCTGACAAGAGAGGCCGTGCTTCCTTTTGGTCTAAGGATGGCAAAAGATTGAGTTAATCTTTGAGTTAACTGAAGCCGTGCGACTTTAGTTACAATGTGGTAAAACAACAGCACCAAACATAGAAAAAAAAAAGGGTTTGTGATCACCTGACAGGATGATTGGCTCTATTGTAAGCTGGTAGCTGCCCCTCTTGATGCTGCTGTTAAATGTTGGAATGTTTTTTTCCCGTCTTAAAGTGTAGCATTCGGGAAACACCGTCTTTATCTGACCCACATGGTTCTCCTCAAACCGCCTGTGGGAGAGAGAGAGAAGCATTAGCCTTTGTGCTATGGGCTTCCATTGGCTGAGTCAAATAAAGGAGCAAATAGGTTTTGTATAACATTATGAAAAAACAAAACTTATTTTCCCTGTGATTCAACTATTTATTAAATCTTTCACAGTGAGATTTTGCTAGAAACCAAGTAAATCCTACATGTTCATTGTGAGATTTGACAACCACCCACTTTGATTCGTTAAACTTACTTCTTCATCATGTCCTGAACTCCTTGTTTAACCCTAGCAAAGGTGGCTGTCTCACATCTGTTGTACAGCATAGCGACCACAGTGTCCATACTCCGGAACATCTCGGCTAGGACCTTGTACTGATAAGGGAGGGAGAGGCCCGGGGGCACAGCCTGAGCGAGAGTGTGATACCGCTGGTACGCTGGATGCTCCACACTGTAAGACCAAAAAAATATAAGCATAACCAATATACACACACATGTATATATACACATATATACATATACACACACATGTATATATACACATATATACATATACACACACATGTATATATACACATATATACATATACACACACATATATATATACACATATATATAAACATATACACATATATATACACACACACATCTACACATATATACACACACACATACACACACACACATACACTTTACTTTAGTGCCGGCTTATAGTCAATAGTCCAAAAATTACAGTATTTACATATAATATATGTAAATACATGTAACATTTAGAAGCGTGTTAGTATTAAACATAGAGCTATCACACCTGTCCTGGGCCTGTGTCTCACTCTGACCCCTCTCCTCTGTGACATCTTGTCTCCTCTGGGCTTTAGCTGCAAGCTGCTTTGCTCGTGCCAGAGTGTGTGTCAATGCTTTAGCATCAGGGACGGAGGACGGGGCCACATCGGGAACAGGACGTTTTTCCTCGCTTGTTGATGAGCCCGCCGGAGACAATGATGATGATGATGATGATAATGTGGTGGATGTACAAACAGAAGCAGCTCTCGTTGTTTCCTCTGCATGTTTCTTGATCCTTTGAAGACGGGATTTCAAAGCAGCAATATCGTCTTTACACAGAGCCTGAAGGAAGGAAAAATGACGATGAGATGGCAGATCACCATGAAAATAGACCCTCACTAATGACAGCCATAAAGGGAAAAATAGTTTTACCTTCTTGCCTTGGCCTATAAACTCTTTATTGACGACAACAGACTTCTCAGGAACTTTTTCACTGGAGGAGGTGGTGGTGGTGGTGTCTACGGATTCACTCCTGACGCTGAGGGGTTGAGCCTAAAAGAAAACAATGTAATATGTTCAGTGTCTCTACTTTAGAGCTTTAGATCATACAAAGAAAAACCACCATATCCATTTACTTTACTTAAAAGATAATTTGGCAATATTTTAATATAAAAAGCATTCAGACTGATAGAATAGAGTCTAAAAGCAGTTTTATTTTGAATATATATATATATATATAAATAATGATCCTTCAATGCTCAGCACCTTGGAACCAAAAAACTACTCCATAACAGACTGATACAAGTTTCCGCAATTGATTATTTATTCAAACTAAAAATATTGTTCATTGCTGTGTAATAAAAAAAAAAAAACTTGTAATTTCATAGGTTAAGTATTTCTGCTGTGCTTTTAGGCTCTCGCGGGTTTAGAAACGCAAATCGATTAAAACTCCACAGGTCTTGCACAAAAATGACTGACATTACCATCTGTACGGTCTTAAAAGAATTAAGAAAAACAAACGAATGTGTTTTATTTTTATTGTGCAGATGTTTGAGCTGGTTCTGTTTGATGAATGAACGCGACTTATACGTTTAAACGACTGGCATTCAACACAGACACCCATAAACACTGTTATACACTAACAAACTGTTAGTGTATAAACATTTAAAACAAACCTGTAAGACTATCGACATACAATGCTCATTATTGAATATGTTAACGGTACAATTCTAACGACAATATATTGTTTACCTGAGGAGAAGGTGGAGGCAGCAGGAGCTTCTTCCTAGCCGTCCTCCTCTTTCCCCTCTCGGGGTCTGTATCGGCTATGGAGTCGCTCTTTGTCTCAGTCTGTCTCCTTTTCTTGGCGGTGCTGTGTTCAGCGGCGGCTGTAGTCACCCCTGCTCCGATGTCAAACTCAGCAGAGCTCCTCTTTGGTGTCCGGGGACTGGAGGCATGTTTAGAGTCGTTGTTGTTAAGGGTGGGGTGGAGGCATGTTTAGAGTCGTTGTTGTTGTTAAGGGAGGAAGTCTCGTTGTTCGATCCCACTGCTTCGTCGATAACTCGCACAAACTCTTCGTGGACAGAGGAAGAACAAATGAGTGGCTCTCGGCTTTTAGCAGAGCGTGTCCGTGTGCTGCTGACGCTTCGCTGCTTGGTCGCTGCTTTCACGGGACCTCTTTTACGCTGTGAGAAGAAGTCCGTGACCCGAGCCTGCGACATGATACGGCTTTATAACTAGAAGGAAAAACACAAGAAGAAGAAAAAAAAGTCAAAGTTCCAACGCAACACTCCAAATCCGGAGTTGGCGCTGATTAAATAGTGGGTACCAACAGATCTCCGGAAGTGTTCACACTTCACAGGAACAAGAAATTCCGCGCGAAATATCAAAATCCCGCCTCCTGGTCACGTGGAACGGGGCGTGTTTTTATTTTCCAACACATTTTATTTCTTGGTAGCTTTTTCCTGACTTCTAATTAGAAGTCAAATTAGCAAATCGACAAGAAAAGCATTTAAGTCAATGTAAATTGTTGTTTTTTAATAACAATATTAATTAATAATAATAAACTAGCTCGTAAACTGAATCTAAAAGAGTTAAATGGAATGGAATTTGGAAAGGACAGAAAAGTGCTAGGACAGAAGGTGCTCTTTGAAGGAAAGGCAGGGACGCTATAATTTAAATATATAAATATATTATTTGTATATAACAATGGTTGTGTGGACACGTTTTATTGGGCAGCAAGTACATGTCCTGCCCATGCTGTTGTACATCGGTGCTTCTTATTTAAATATATTTTACAAATTGAGGCAATGATTAAACAGCGATTGCTATCTGCTGCCCTCACACTTCTATTATCAATGGCACTAAGACCTTTAGCTACCAGGTCTCACTCAAGACCAACAAAGTGTTAATGATGATGATAATGCAATGTCTTTCATTGTATCTTGTTGGCTTTCTTTGTTTTTGCAAATAAGATGTTGGTCCCAGAAACCACAACAAACCATCAAATCACCCATTGTCAATTATAAAGTGCTGTCTGCGATCATACTGTAAAAACATAATAACTTAGGTAATTTTGCTTTTATATTGTTGGTTTGATTACTTTCAGTGTTGCAAAATGTAACACTCCATACTTTTTGTATACTGTAAGTCTGCTTTGTTTTCATGAAAGTTTTAACGATTAACTTTAGGGATGTCAACCGATATTAGCACAATTAGCAGCATAATAATATTAGCATAATAATCTGTAAGAATAGCTTGAAGAGTCCCATTAGGCAACTGGATGTGCAATTTTCTCAAGAAAAGAAAATGATTTTCTCCAAAAAGTTCGTATTTAAATTCTTGAGAAAATTTCACGTCCAGTTGCCTAACGGAACTCTTCAACCTTGACCATGACCTGAATGACTGAGAATCTTCATAGACATGTCAGAATAGATTTTCAACAATGAAACCCCATAACGCAATGCCTGGGTTTCGCCAGATGATTACGTAAATGAAAGTGAAAATGGATTATTGTCAACCCATGAGTTTGTAGAGATGAGTTGGTTATTATTATTATGATGGTGTCTGATCAGCCAAATTAATGGTGGTTAAAGAAAGTGTTGCAAATATTTTACTCAGCATGTGGCTTTGCACATATGTAGGAGGTTACATTATGAACCAATACAATTCCCTATGCCAGGACAAATTATGTCACATGAGTTCCCATTTTAAAACCTACTGTTCTTGGAGGTGTTTGGTCTCACAAACTGCATTGGCAGCAACCATTGCAATGATTCTAATGTTATAAATTGATGTCACTCACAGCCGCGCCCAGACACATTTTCTAGTCCTTGCTCTGTTTGATTTAGGATCAAGAGTCTTGTAAGGAATACATTGCCTTTTTGTTATGTTGCCGTATTAGTTACTCAAACCCATCGATTGATGATAGCTAGCTAATGACACATTGTTAATTACTACTGATCAGCACTACCTAGTTCTTTAGCTGATTATCTGTCCATTGTGTTCTGGACAGGCACATTTCTTTGACTTTAATGCTCTCATGTACAGTGTCTTGAGCTTAACGTTAAAGCTATTCATTTGTTAAACAAATCACTTTATGTGTCTTTTGTCATGAAAAAAAAAAAAATACAGCATTCCCAACCACTTACATTTCTTCACAAGGCAGGCTTGATTCTCCTCACATGGTGGACATGCTGACTAATCACTGTCTGGAGAAGGCATTGTTAGCACAGTGTCCACATGTATAAAGGATGTCTACTGCCGTCAATTGAAATGCTGTCTTCAAATAATGCTCCTTAAGAGAAAGCTTTTAAGAGATGAGTAGTCCTTTTGACACTCTAGATCAGGCATGGGCAAACTAAGGCCCGGGGACCAGATGCGGCCTGTTCAGCTCTTTAATCCGACCTGGCAAACTTTTCCAAATGATATAATTTATTTATATTGTTACACTCCTGCCTTTTCCCCGCAATACCCACGTTTCCCCAATGGATCGCGTAGAAAATGAGAAAAGCTTTTTAGTATTTTAGCCTTTATGCAGGACTTTTACATGTCATTTATCTTAGTTCACACGAACACGCCATCTATCTGCCCCTGACCCGGCCCCCCTGTTCAATTTTAGTACAATTGTGGCCTGCGAGTTAAATAGTTTGCCAGTTCCCAAAATGTATAAGATCAGAATCGGAGGCAGAGCTTTTCAGCTAGCTTTCGGCGCCCCACCTCTGGAACCAGCTGCCAGTGTGGATTTGAGAGGCTGACACGTCTCTATATTTAAGGTTAGACTTAAATCCTTCTTTTTGAAAAATCATATTCAAAGGGCTGGTTCAGGTAAGACTAAGTTATGCTACTATATGCCTAGACCGCTGGGGTATTCCCCAGTGTTTTTTCCCACTGCTAAAACGCTTGCTCAGTGTGTGACATCATCTTCTTCAATCTGTATTGTGTCTCCGTATTGACTTAACCTTGAATAGATATTGACTTAATGCCTACAAGTGGAGAAAATTAAGATTTCTTAAATTATATATGGCTTCCATATGATGACAACATCTAATATAATATTCAATATACATTCGTTATAAATTTGAATTATTTATTATGTTTTGAATATGTTACAGTAACGTTGTTAAACATTGTTGACTAACTGTATTTGTGTGTTGGCCTCAGAAATCATACTAAATATTCGAAGGTTCATTAGTAGTCCACCAGGGAGCGCCATTGAAACAAATAATGTCAAACGGTCAAAGTAAAGTTTCCTTTTGAATGGTAAACTGACTTGTCAACCATCCACGTACACGTCTTTGAAAATGTAAATAGACCGCCTGGTTTTATATGTATCATTTATCAAAGGAGCGTATCATAAGTTAAAAAAAACAACAAAGGGAATTGAAAACCAAAAGTCAGGAAAGATCTTCTTTGCATCTTCTATGGGTAGACAGACGCATGTGGGCAAAAAGGTTAAGGGTCATTTTTAATCCATCCTGGTGGCAAAAAAGGATGTCGAAGGAAAATGTAGTAAACAGAATACATGCAGAATAAACATTTTATTTTGAATGTAGACACTTTGAAATGATGCTGACTATAAGTGTAATGTGTGTCATTTTACTCAACATTATACTCTAATTCTACCCTGTCAGTACCATAAACCGGTGTTTCCCAACCCTTTTTTGAGGCATGACGCATATTTTACATAAGAAAAAGGGTCACAAAATGTATATGTACTACAATATGATTATCCTTGAGATTGAAATTACTTACAATGTTCTTACTAACTGTGTAACCTGGGCCTGTTCAGTTGAACAAAATGCAGATGTACTGCCAGGAATTGAGGAAAGACACGCGAAGAAGAACATTTAATTATTCTAAATAAATAATACTTTTCTGACCAATTAAGTGAAATTCAATATTTTCCTTGGTACACTTGTTGCTCTCTTATTGCATACTAATGCGCCTGCAGAACAGTGGTTGAGAATCACTGCCCTAAACTGCATTAAAACGGACTTAAAACAAGTCAATCTTTAAAACCGTCCAGATCATTTTTCTTTCTAAGCGATAACATTTTGGGTCTTCTGATTGAACACAAAATCTTAAAAAAAAAAAAATTCTAATTTTTTTTATAAGGAGTTATAGTGTTCCCAGGGGTTGGAGTGAATTTTAAGTGTCTTCTAAAATCACTCAATTTCTTGAAACTATCCTGAATTTTCTGATTGAAACTTTTGGACTCATTTTAAATAAAAAAAAAAGTCTTTAATATATGGCACTTGATTATGTATGTTTTACTGCTTTCTCACTCACTCGCTCTATCCATCCAGCTACTTCCCTTTTTGTTTAAATATAAATGGTACACAGAATCTAATACAATTTCTATAATTTTAATTTTTTTTTATTGGAAACTACATTAAAATTTTGGTTTTTATTGTCTCAAATGTATTGTATAGCTTATATTCTACTTTTGTACTGTAAACGTTTTTGCTTGGTTATTGCGATTTCTTTCTCCTGATTGTGTCTGTCTTTGCCTTTTTGTTGCCACAACATCAACTTCGTCAAATCTAGTCTAGTCTAGTCTAGTCTAATCTAATCTAATCTAATCTAATCTGATTTATTCTAATCTAATCTAATCTAACCTAATCTAATGAACAGATCACCAACTAAATATATATATATATATATATATATATATA